CTTCTAGTTTAAATGAGCTCATAATTGACTAAAATCTTGGCCTGTTTAGTTGAAAATATACTGGCAGGAATTGAAGAAAGAAACTCATAAAATTATTTGTGATTATTTTTTTTTATTAGTTTTACTGTCCATGTGCTGCCACCTAGCAGAAGAGTATTCAATTGTCCTGCCTTTCCTGCATTGACGAGCAAAGAAAAATTATATGCAATAAATAAATAGTTTTCAGGCCACTTAACTGAAATTGGATCATTTTCCCGCGCACCTAATGATCGCTCACGGCACACTAGTGTGGTTGGAAAACACTGATATATATTTTTACATATATTCACATATATATAAATATATATATAGATATATACCCATATATTTAAATTGCCGTAAATCTTCCACACACATACTGTACATATACTCACAACAACATTTATCTAGAGCTTTAAATCCATGACGGTGCCTGGGGAGCGAGGGAATTTTCGTCATTTGCTAGGCAAGTTGCTCAAGCAACTTTTAATTTCGCACAGATTACACACAGTGTTGAAAGTTGCACACAGTGATTTCTACTTTGGCATTTGGGCACAGCTTGAAACTTTTTAAACTTTTATTAAGTGTTGATGACGACAGAGCGTGGTTCTTTTTTGTCTTCTCTTCCTACTTTGTTCATAGATCCTAATCCCACTTCTTCAATCTGTCCCAGAACTTTGTAGTAAAAAGAGTGTAAAGACACACATTAGAAACTGCCCAGGTCTGAATTCACACATTATATACAATAATGTATTTATTCAGGCTCTTTTCATCCGATGAGCCGCTTGACTAGCTTCTCCGCACATTAAGGAGAATTTCTCTTCTCTGTTTTGACTTCCCATCAATAGTGATATATGTGTCTTAACTGATTAGATCTTCTTAGGGCAATAAAACTAATTTATCTTTAAAAAGCATGTGTAGCCTATTCAGAAAACAGACACCCAGTGAACACACAAGACGTGGTGTCAGGCAGCGCCCCCGTCTCGGCCCTGTCTTTCCCCCAGAGGACAGTGAAAGCATCACTATGTGCAGTTAAATCTGCAGACTGTTTATATACTCACTCTGTGGGCCATGTGTAGAAAACAGGCAAAGAAGAACACAAACAACCAGTGTTGCAGAAATGAAGGCTGTAAATCAACTTGTTTTCTAATATACAGCAAAGACTTTTCGCTACAAAGCCTGTATTTTTAATCAAGTCAAAAAAAAAAAAAAAAAAAGATCTTTAAACTTTAACTCAAACATTTTGTGTTGTACTAAAGACATTATTTCTTTTTCAATGTTTACTTCACCACCCATCTTGGGGCCACCCTTACATATACCACCCATGTAATCTTGGGCGCATTTTATGAAACGCTGTTGCATGTGTCAACCCTGAACCCTCATAAATCAGGCGTTTTTATCGTCATGTTTGTAAACAGTAATTTCCTTTCCCTCCTCCAGTGTCATCTCCAGTGTGACTTGTGACACTTTGGTCCAAAGAGAGCCGTAATTAAAGAGGGGAAGGCCCCTTTTAAATTAATAAACCGTTGAATAATAAAGCAGCACTGAAAGCAGAGCTCGCACTTGACGACAGCCCAATAAATATCTGCTGCAATGAAAGATGAAATGTTGCCCTTGTTAGAGGCAGATTTACATGCAAACAAACCGTCTGGGTTCAATTTCACTGCCTCTCCTTCAACGGACTCATCCGCAGCCCCACAATGCACCACAGTGCGAGTAAATAATGTGTTAATGTAGTCCTAAATACAGCGCCTAAATAGTCAGTACTCAGTAAAAAAAAAAGTGAAAGGATGCTAACCTGTACGTACAGTACGTATAACCTTGAAGCGAAGTGTTGATAACGTGGTTCTCTGACATCTGATAATAATCAACATATTTATTTTCCAAAATTGCTGTTCAACATCGGTCCGCGAGGACTCGGAGGAGTATCGGTTTCCTTTGTGCATTTCATGTCTTGTCATTCTGGGAGTGATCACTTCGACAGGCTAAGAGGTGACTTTTAAGATATTACCACTGATGCGGCCTTTGGAAAGGATGGTGGCATTTGGCTGCGCTTTCATCCTGAAAGATTTCTGCGCTTATCACTTAAATCTGTCTACAGTCTTTAACTTACTGGCAGAAGCACAAAAGAGCTTCACATGTGGCTTTGAGAGTATGTGGCTGAGTACTATGATCATGTTAACCTCATGAACTCCTGAGTTTCCATTTTACATTTCCCCTGTGTTTCTTTACATATGGAACTGCAAGAAAAAAAAATCTCAATATCACATGTACCATAAATTCAATCTGCTTTTCCAGCAGGTCATTGTCTAAACTGCCTGTTATTTTTTTATTTCATTTTTTTAGAAAAAAAAGACAGCTCTTTTCTGTCTAAAGTTTTGTATTTTTGTAAAGAATTGTATTCCAATCATTGATCTGCAACGTGAAGACACTTCTCTGCTGGTGCTACCAATGCTACATGCTACATTTGACGCACATTTCCTAACAAACCATGTGACATTTCAAGGCACACTGTCCTGTATGTTCAACTAGGGCATGCCCCCCCTTTTGGGGTCAAAAATGTTTTCATGCCTCCCCCCCAACAAATTGAAATCCTATTGAGAACCTGATAACATGTATATTTGTATCTGTACAAACCACTGTATGAGTTGCTGCCACCTAGTGACTGGAGGCTTGTTATCATTCAAGCAGTATTACACTTATGTCCAGCGTGCCATAAGTCCCTCACACACACACACACACACACCCCCGGCACCTCACCACTATTTGAGAAGTACTGAACTAGGCTCAGTAAATAACCAGAGCAGGAGGTTATTGACCAATATTTGTGTCTCTAGTATCTTTTAATCCAAAAGCCCAAATTATGTTTCTGTTTCTGTCAGTTTAATCATTAAACGTGTCACGTCCTGTTCACGAGTTACAACAGAAAAAGTTAAGAATTCAGCCTGAGTTTAGGTTTTTATTAAAGCTCTGATCTACAGCGCAGTAGAAGAAGAAGTTTAAGTTCCAACTTTCAGCTCAAATTTTGCACCAGAGTTAAATAAAATAAAGAAACGCTTGTGTTGGGTCTGAGTCACATGAGTTTTCAGTCATCAGTACTGAGTCCAAGTCCATTTATGAGTCTGGGAACCAGTCAATCCTAATTTTAACCCTTTCTTCACCGACATCGTCCTAACAACCAGGCCGAGGTACAGCAGATCAAAGAGTAAAGGAGAACAATCGGTGACATTTTTAGGGGTAAAATCCAAACCATTTAATATTTCAAACAAATGAAATATTAGCAGCACAAGCTAACAAACGATAGCAAACAGTTAACAACAACACCTGAGCTCAATTGACTTAGCATTTTCTGACTGTGTTGATGTTTTCTTACCTTTTACTGAGGACAGGACGTGTCTGTAGCAGGTGGCTGATTCTCAAAGTTGCAGAAAGTTGTTGTCAGTCCATCACTTTATTTTTATCAAAATGAGCAGCATGAGGAAAACAGCCTGTTGGAACATAGAGCCATTTATATAGCATGCTAAGAGCTAGCTTCAGAAATGTCCATTTACAGATGAGCTCACAGTTCCTGAAACTCCCACAAACTAAAAAAAAAACTTAAATAAATACAAAAAGACTTAAGGTAATATTTATAAATATTTACGTTGGTACAAATGCTGACACTGACCTGCTCCAGCCCTCCACCATCTCAGCACACAGTCTCTCTCAGAACCTTAAAAACCTGCCGGTTCCCAGAGGACACTTTAAGCCGAACACATGAAGAGCAATCACAAAAACAAAGTTGTTTAATGTTATTAATAATTGCTCCAACACATACACACAGAGTCCTTCAATATTTCTGACACCTTACATATATACAAATATTATTTTTATAATAAAATATTATTTTATAATTGTACTTTTTCTTCATAAATAAAGACATTATCAATGATTCAAGAATAGTTTTCAAAAATATCTGCCAACAGTCAGTCATTTAAATCTAAAGTGTTCCAAAAGTAGGGTTTTTTTAGATTTTTAGATTTTTTTCTGTTAGACTTTGTACTGATTATAAAACAAAAATAACAACAAAAAAAATACATTTACACATTTATCATATGCTTTTAGCCAAAGTGACTTTTGTGAGAAAATTGAAGTAAAAATGATTTCACTGGTGCTTGAACAAAGACCTTCTGCATGTACAGCAGACATGATGACCACTACAATGTAAAATCACAAGTTCTCTAGGTCAACAAAGTGATCAGACTTTGGGATTTTTCACACAACTTTTCCACTGATTCTCTTATATAGAACCAACTCTGATATGGATAAAGAAGATCTCACTGTCACTAAAACAGGATTTTTACCATTTACCTGTTGGCAATGCCAGGGGGCGACGTACCAACTGAAAGTCAAAAGAAAAAAACACAGTCTGGAATTAAATACACAACAAAAAACAAAACAAACCCAAAACAGTCAGACCAGTGATATAACAACAGTTGACAACGAGGTTTTCCACTGACACAGATGAACGTAGCACTGAGATGTGATTGGGTCGTCCACAGAGACACTGTATATGTGTGAGGTGGATCACAGTGTGTAAACCATATGTGTATATGTGTGTTTGTCAGAAGGTTTTGTCTGTGGGTGTGTATGTGCGAGTGCGGCCGTGTTTGATTTCAAAGCGCGGCCAGTGAAACCTTAGCCCTGGGAAAAGCTGACAAAACATTGTGATCCCAGGTGGTTAATGGCTCAGGAGAAATGACCACTTGACCAGCATCATAGACGACCCCATACTAATATGTCCTCTCCTCCCCATCTGCTAGATATTACACCTAGAATGTCTTCTGTTTGCCCCACATATGCAGCCGATGGGTGGTCTCCTGATACCACAGCACAGGGTCCGCTGTGTCACCATCACAACAATATTCAACATGAACAGACGCATTAGAACAGGGGCTTCCCAGGCCAAGGATCCCAACCCCAAACAGCATTAGCTTCTGTTGGGAGACCCCCCTCCTCCCCCCTTAGCAAACCCACAAACATACATTTTTAAAATATATTTTCTTACGTTTATCCACTCTTTAATAAATCACTACATTTGTGTAGCATAAAGAAAATGATTAACAAACAGGCTTGCACAAGCTAGCTACACGTTAGCTTGAGGAGGAACGGGTCTACAGATTATGACGTCATGCCAAAGTTGCAGTTGTTACACAAGGTGTGTTCAGGTACCATTGGGAACTTGAGAACTTTAAATGCTGTTCGGTTCACCTTGGATAGTTCGCCAGTCCATCAACTCAAATAAACTAAAAATACTTTATTTAACTATATGACACAACATTATTCAATTCTTACAGTATACGATCAATTCTACGTGATATAGGATTTATATTTTAAATATTTATTCAAATATTCATTATTCATAATATATTCATTCAATATTCATTCAATATATATTTATAAACATATTTCAATAAATATGTATTCAAATATTCAATATTTATTCATTCAATATATATTTATAAATATATTCAATATATATTTATTCAAATATTCAAAAAAAATTCCTTTTATTTTAAGGTAGAATCTAAAGGTAGACCCCGACCTTCGTGTTGAGCAGCCCTGCTCTAGAACCACAGGACGATGTGGTCAGTAGCCTGTGATACCACTTTGATGCCAGTTGTGGGAAGTGTGTTGAGCTTTTCTAAAAGAACCCTTTGTCATCTTCTAAACAAGCACTGAACACTAATCACACAGTCCATCTAAAGAAGACACCGACAACTGAGTTTGTTGGATTCAGAGGGAAAAAAAAGAAGAAAAAATCTGCACTCAGTGAGCAGGTTTAAGGAAAGTTCTAGGTGTCAGGGGTGAGAGGTTGAAGGTCCTGCTAGTGTGGGTGGCTCTGATGAAGCCCTGTTAGCAGTTAATGAGGGCTGAACAGACACACTGATCACTGCTTGTAATTTGCTGGGGCTAATCACTGAATATTCCCCTTTGACAAAGGAGATTACACGCAGGGCCCGGGGATGGACAATAGAGATTTGCCTTGTAATGTCTCCACTATAGACTGGCAGCACAAAAAGGCTGGATCAGACCGTAGGAGAGAGGATTTAGAGATGGCAGGGGGGTGGATGTGACACCAGCCCAAAGGTGCCTTCTGTGGAACAATGTGAGGATGGGGTGATGGTGGGGTGGGGCAACATAAATGAAAGCAACTTTATATGTATTATCTGCAGGACCAAAGACAACATGTGATATGATTTTATAACAAGGACAGAAGTCTGTGAACACCACCATGTCCCAGTCTGGTTATTTTGGTTCAAATAAACTGCTTTAACTTTGGTAAAAGCAGTGCTCCCTCCCCCACACCCACCTCCTCAGGCTCTGTTGAAGTCGGTTTCAATTTGGAATTAGTGTGACGCTGCTGTTAAGCCACACTCATGACATCAAGACTGTCCACAACCGTTTTGAAAATAAATGTTGACAGCACCATTAACCAACGTGGAGCCGACTTCAGCAGCAGAGTTCAGCACTTAAACCTCATGAGGCGTTAAAACTTAATCTCAGACATTGTTTAAGTTAAAGACAGCGCCACCTAGTGGGTTGGAAGACTGATTGTTGCTCATAGATAGATGATTCAGTAGTGACGGGCAACCAAATGAACAAAGTGGAATTCCTACAATGAGGAACCTACAAAGAAGACCATGGTTTGAAGAATCTCCATCATGAACCAAAGGACAAAGTCGTGAAAGGCGTCCTTACACTCCTCTGGTCAGATGGTCAGCTGTTTCTGTCTAAGTAACAGTAATCCCTTGTTCGATTTTGTTTTGCAATCTAATATGAGATGTCATCAAGTATTACACTGAAGAAATGTTTTTTCTTTTCTTTTTGGACAAACATTGATTTTCACTGTTTGGGTTTCAGCAAACGCCTCAGAGAAAGTACCCTCTGAACAGTTTGGCCGGATTGAAAACTGACCTCTTGAATGATTACGTTTCCTGAAGCACCGACTTAGATTACACAATCACAAAAAAGATCAGCTTTAATTCATGTGGTTTTGCTAAGTCTGATTAAAATTAGTGTTGGGCCTTGTTGAGAAAATAATCAAACTGATTGGATTTGTAGTAAAATGTATTCTGAAGAACTACATCTTTATCCAATAGAGAACGTTTTCTATTCAAATCATATGGATGGTGAGTGATTGTTTAATTTGTATCTGTGTATTTTTCATCTGTCTACTTCAGTGTAACAGTTACAGATATGATAATTAAGATTTTCATGGTCTGGCTGCACCGTTTGTCGTGGCTAACGTTAGCTCTAGCCTCACACTAACGCTGTAGTGAGACTGTATCATTGCAGTGCAGAGCTGCAGTGAAGCTTTGTTGCACACAGCCATAGTCTTGTCCAAATTCTCATCAGGAAGGTTTAGAAAACAAACACAAAGACCTCTGGACTAATTGCAGTAGTGTTTCTAATGTTGCAGAAATTACGGATTTGAAATTAGCATGCTAAAGTCCTAGCCCTGATTAAATAAGCAGTGATGTTACAGGCACTTGTTCCACATGTCCCATTTTTGTTCTGGGGGGAAACCCCCGTGGGGAGCATTTAGTCCTCAGTCCATCGAACACATGGAAAGCTCATAATTCTATGATGTTAGACTTGCTTTAGTGAATTTCAGTGACACAGATGACTTTTACAGAGGCAAAATGGTTCCACACTAAAAGAAGCGTGCACTCCTACATGTGCAAACGCACCATATATACTTAACTCGGCGCTCCGAGTAATGTGCATTACATGCTAGTCATGAATTAAATGCCATGTGAAGTTTGGGTTTGTCACAATGGCCACGTTGAAAGTTTTGCCTTTAAACCACACAAGAGAAAAATCCTCCGATTTTTCTTCGTTTTTTTAATTACATATTTCCACGCTACCTGTAAAACACAGCTCATAATTCCCTCGTAATGTCAAACGTCAACATTTATAACTTTTCATGATCAAATATCTCTGTTTATTTAAAGGTTTTTGATCAGCGTCGATCAAGCCGCAGGTGCATCCACATACGTTGGCTGTCATTAATACCAATTAGTATCTGTGAACGGAAATATTCCACAGTGTCGTGCTGTGGAAATATGATTTCACAGAGCAATAAAAACCTCAGGTTCCAGTAACTGTCAGGTCCAATTGCACGGCTAACACTTTATTACAAGGCTACGGAGAGTTGCTGCTGATGAGGAAATTAGTAAATGTAGCGGCTTCGCTAATTGTTCAAGGCTGCTTCATAGTTTCCACATCCTTGAGTCTGTTTGGATCCTGCCTCGTCTGCTGGTATAAGTATCATCATCATCTACCCACCGTGGTGTGATGGTATAACGTACCGACCACATCTGCCAACAGTCCACAGTTTGTGACCATCTGGACCACACAACTGTGCAGAGTCAGGTGACACAATACAAAAAATATTAAATATATACTATAATTCACAGGAGTAAGGCCACAGCTTTAATCCATATTCTACTAGACTTTTCTTTTTCTTTTTTTTCTTTTTTTTTGCTAAAAGAAAGCAACTATTGACACATACAAGTCAAGTCACCGTCAAGATGCAGGGTAATGACTAAAATCCTTTAAAACTACACCAGAAAAGAAGCTAAGATTGAGTTATACTTTTATATATTTACATATATATTTTCTATATATTTTTTATATATTTACCTACAGNTTTTTTTTCTTTTTATATATTTTTTAATTTC